AATGTCGTAATTCTGTTGAAGTGATGTATAATTGTCCAAGAATGGCACTACTTTGATGAAATGTTGAACATTATGTGCAGGTAATCATATATGACTAAAAGTGGGCGAAACCTACAAGAAAAACATGCAAAAAGAAGGCTAACAAACATGGGAGACGAATTGCTAAATTAATGAAAGAAATGTTGTTGGGAAAATTGACCACTCGTCAATGTTTTGATCATATCGTACGCTATGGAGCTCCGATTGACTTGATTCAAGAAGTTTCGAAAACTAGAAACAATTTCCCACAACTTTCGTGTTTTGTGTTTTTTCTGATTCTACCGTTTTCATCACCAAAAGAGGCACCAAAGATGAACGACGTCCTATAACGCGTCTAAGACGGCCCCCTAAAACGTCTACCCGTTTTAGGCCATTTTCAAGTGCAAATCAAGGATGACAGAAGGCATGTAAAACGTCCCGAAGGACGCCCAGACGTCCTATAGGACGTCTAAGATGCCTACTAGGACGCCGACGCGGAAAAATACCCGAAAATCAGTTTCTCAGCACCTATTTAAAGGAGATTTAACCCTAATCGATTTTGGACTTCTCCCCTACGATTTCCCCACTTTTGGAGGTATCCAAAGACGTTCAAAGCTTCTCCAAACATGTTTTTGATCATTAATTTCTGAATCCAAGACGAGAAATTACTAAATTCATTATCATTCAACGTTTGAAGATCGTTCAACCGACGGATCTACATCAATTCAATCAAACTCCAAATTTGATTATTTCATCCCCAAGGTTTCATCGTTCCATAGTTGATTGATCATTAGACTTCATTGATTTTATGATTTCAAGTTGGTTTGTGAATTTTAGCATTAATTCCATTGTTTATATTGAAGTTGTGTGTTTTGTTAATCATATGGAAGGCTAAACCACCTAGGTTACTTCCGGGAACGTTGTAGGATGTTAGGATCAACACGTTTTGATTATTACTTTTATTCTAGTTAATTTCAATTACTGTTTCATTCTTAAAGTTATGATTTTTACTTATACTAATTGGAGTTGGGTTTTTCTTATTGTGTGATATTGCAACTAAGATAGTGTATTGTTAATTCACTAATCATTCTGAATTCAAGTAGTTTAGGAACTAAGATAATCAGTTGAACCCACATACATTATTCCGAATTTGTAGTATTATATACTCAACATTGTAATAGGTAATCGTAAGACATATTATCTCCAAACCACTAGTTGTTCCTAATCCAATTAGACATAGGGAGTAAGACAACTAGTTGGGATAACATATTGTGTGCTCAAAATTATTTGTTTTAAGTTAATCAACCTTACTTATGTCTAGGTAATTAAATTGGAATTTAAGGGAAGAAAAACGTGTAAGTCCAACAATCTAAACAACTGAACCGGAATTATCTTGTTTTTTTTCTCATTGATAGTAGTTTGTTTTAGTAGTTATTGCATTACCAAGTTTTTAGCTTTTTCATCAACTTTTAGTTTAAATAATTTCGTGACAATTGCTAGTAGTTTTTCATTAACTATTGATAGCTTCATTTTATTTACTTCTTTTTATAGTTTATTTTAGCATATTTCATTCGTATTTTAGTTAATTTCCATGCATATTTTCCTTTTTGTTATTTTTATGACCATTTTGGGTACTTTCTAGTTTCTTGAGCATTATTGCAGATTTTTTGGAGGCTAGCAGAGCAGGATTTTTGGGAGGCGATTGGACTTGAAGAGAAATGGGGATTTCATGCTTGAAGGCGTGGAAGTGTTGAACTTTAAATTTGAAAGACACGGGAGAATTCTTGAGTGTGCAAGATCGATGTTTGGGGAGTTTGCGGAAGTTTTGAGTGATGTGGAGAGACAATTTGGGCTCAAATTGAAGAAATAGTGAAGAAAAATGGGCTAGAAGCTGATTGGACTCGAACTGGGCCAATTGATTAGCTGTGTGGGCCCAAGACTTGAAGAAGCCCAAAAATTTCCGTCGAAGTCACGCGGCCCGCGTAAGATTCCCCGCGGCCCGCGTGGATTCCTGACAAGGGCAATATCGAGATTTTACTTAGAGCTCTATATTGGGAAGGTTGGTGTGCCTCTTCAGCCTTATCTTGGAGGTCCGATTTTGATACTTTCTCTCTGGAGTTTGGAGCACTTTTGAAGGCCAAGAACCCTCAAGAATTTCACCATTTCATCTCTTAATTCTTGCTAAATGTTTGGTACAATCTTAACTAACTTTGTTTCCTTGAGTTTAATCATGCTTGGCTAAACTAATCTTGGTTGACTAATCTTGGTTGACTTTTGTTGAATCCTTTTAACTAACTTTGTTTCCTTGAGTTTAATCATTACTTTTATTCTAGTTAATTTCAATTACTGTTTCATTCTTAAAGTTATGATTTTTACTTATACTAATTGGAGTTGGGTTTTTCTTATTGTGTGATATTGCAACTAAGATAGTGTATTGTTAATTCACTAATCATTCTGAATTCAAGTAGTTTAGGAACTAAGATAATCAGTTGAACCCACATACATTATTCCGAATTTGTAGTATTATATACTCAACATTGTAATAGGTAATCGTAAGACATATTATCGCCAAACCACTAGTTGTTCCTAATCCAATTAGACATAGGGAGTAAGACAACTAGTTGGGATAACATATTGTGTGCTCAAAATTATTTGTTTTAAGTTAATCAACCTTACTTATGTCTAGGTAATTAAATTGGAATTTAAGGGAAGAAAAACGTATAAGTCCAACAATCTAAACAACTGAACCGGAATTATCTTGTTTTTTTTCTCATTGATAGTAGTTTGTTTTAGTAGTTATTGCATTACCAAGTTTTTAGCTTTTTCATCAACTTTTAATTTAAATAATTTCGTAACAATTGCTAGTAGTTTTTCATTAACTATTTTAACACAAAGTTTGACAACAACCTCCTCGTGGATTCGACCCTTACTTACCCTAGCTATCTAGTGTGTGTGAGGTTTATTTTTGACCGAGACAACGACCTCGATCAAAATTTGGCGCCTTTGTCGGGGAGATTGTGCGCTTAAACTATTGTCACGACACGAAACAACTCGTACTTCTTAAAAAAATATTTGGGTAAATCTGAAAGGTAACTAAAAATATAAGGGTTTTTTACATATTTTATTTGTTTTATTTATATCTAATTCATTTATTTATATTTTACTAAGACTGACAAAAAATCTAGGCGAAAAATAAGAATATACAAACTAACCACACATCAAATTTTAATGGATTTTTAAACAAATGATAATTAAAGAATTAAGATAATCAATCGAGTATATGAGATCTAAACAAGCACACGATACGAAAGTAAATTATAGGGAAAAATGCCAAATAAATACAAGGATGCATAGCGGTTGGGCTCTACATAAAGTGTTTATTCCACTTTGATGGAATTACTTTGTCTAGTTGGTTACCAGTCGTATATGATCCACAAGAAACACTAAAAGCCTATATTGTTAAGACTTCATACCTTGTACAAAATTGTCTTAGTACAATGAGATCAAACTAACACAGTCTCATGCACTTACAATGGTAATTTAGAAGCTATCATTAATCTAGATAATACAATTTGAAGTATGTAAGTATAGTGATATCTAATCTTTTATGAAAGATATAAGGAAATGATTATACATTTATCTTCGTTGTATCCCCAAAACACATGTATTACATAACATTAGATTGAAGCTATCATTCATCAAGATAATACAATTTGAAGCATGTAAGTATAGTGATATCTAATTTTTAAACGGTTTGTAAACATTTTAAGAATTTCAGGTATTCAACCATAATCCAGCCCATTTAATTAAACATGTCAGATGATTTGACCCATTTAATTAAACAGGTTTGAGATCTCAACCCAACTTGCTAATTACTAATTATTAATTACTAAGTTGGGTTTGGGTTGGGTTGGGAGTGCCAACCCTAGATAAAGGTGGATGATAGAAAGTGTTGATAAAGACAACGTGTTACTCAAAAGAAGTGAAGACTAGGGATTTCAAAATTAACAAAATGGAGCAACTGGAAACATCTTATAGTTAAATTTGTTTGCATATTTGATCATAACCATATGGTGCTAATATGACCAGTGGCGGACCTTAGTGGGGCATTTGGGGTCCCGGACCACTGCTCAATTTCCGGCACGCAGTGTAAATTATTTTATTTTATTTTTGGGTTTTTCTATTAGGTGCACCCGCTTGAAGTATGAGGGACACCCCTACTAAAACAGTCTGCGTCCGCCACTGAATATGACATTCATGTGGACTTTATTTTTTATTTAATTCTTATTTTATTAAACTTGAAATTTAGTTTAACATAAAACAATAATTAATATGTATATTTTTATTTATTGAAAACTTAAAACTGATATTATGAAAAAAAAATCAAATAACCATTTCCTTCACCAGCATTACCCTCATCAATGTGCATCACCCTCATCAATGTTGTCTACATGATTTCATAACCCGTGAAAGCTTTCATCTTAATGATCTTATGCATAATTTTTTGTTTATTTAACACAAAATCCTAACGAATTCATGGTGCTATATGATGGTGGTGGTTGTATTGATGGATGTAATGTGCACAAAATTTTGCAAGAAGGATCATGTTGACCCCACATCATACTTATAACTGATTTATTTATGTCGCAAAAACACATTAGATTACAATTTATACCAAAATGCCAACAATGTGGCTAAATATTGACATCATCTTATGTATAAATGATAAATAATGCAAGTTAAATACTAGATAAATTAACAATCTTGAAAACCCCATTTTTATTTTGAGAGAAGTGTTCTTATAAGATTGGACTGTGATGTTCTATCACCAAAATGACATTCTTTGTAACTCTTGACTTTCACGGTTTCAACTTTAGAACTGCACCGCCCATCTCCATCTTTTCATTTTCTTATGATAATATGATCGGACTCCGAGTGTTTGCCTTTTCACACAAGGCTTGAGAACCTAAAAGATAGAATGTATGATGCAAGATTATCCTAAAACATTGCCTCCATCAGCAAGAGTTGGATTTACTGTAAGTAAAGTGATTATTCCATCAATTACAGTGTTGCCATTCTGACCATCTTTTGACTTGTTTGGTGACAGATCCATGGCTTGCATATGCACCTGTGAAGAACAATCCTGATGATGATGCTGCAAAGGTACTACACAAATTTATTAACACAATATTCCAAGGAGTATTTAAATTAATTACTTTATATAAAAATGATAGGTGCCTAACACTTCTGGAGAAACAGCAGTTTACAGATCTAATAGCGTGATTCTAAGAAAGGTCAGACAAACTAATTTGATAATTATCTAGATATATAAGAGTTATTTACAGTTTTGGTCCCTGGGTATAGCTGGTTTTTTTCAAATTTGGTCCCAAAAGTTTTCTCTTGTAATTTTTTTCCATATTTGACGTTTTTGGTAATTTACCAAGTAAAATTATCATATTTTTGTATGACCAAAATTGCAAAAATCAGCTATACCCAGAGGACAAAAATGTTGCAAGAACCTCAAATAAGGACTAAATTACTAATAGAACTTTTTGGGACCAAAAATGTAATTTACTATAAAATTAATAATCATAGAGTAGATTACATTTTTGGGTCCTTTAGTATAGCTTATTTTCTGCAATTTTGGTCCTTAGTTTATGTTTTTGTAATGTTTTTGGTCGGTGTCATAATTAAAATGAATCTTTTGGTCCCTAACTATAGCTGATTTTTTTCGATTTTGGTCCCAAAAATATACTCATTTTACTTGGAATAGGGGCCAACAACATTACAAAAACCTCCAATAAGCACCAAACGACAAAAGAGAAAACCTTTTGGGACAAACATTGCCAAAACTAGTTATGCTCAGGGGCCAAAATGTAATTTACTCTAATAGAATAATCTAATTTTTTTTTTCTTCAGGCGGGTGTTAAGATAGATGATCCAGTTTTAAAAGTGTTTAATGGCCAAGAGGTGGAGGTTTGGTTACGTGTTGTGTGGAAGCCAAAATGGGCTGTTACATTTTCTGATGTTAAAAGGAAAGTCAAAGGAAACAACAACTCTGTTTCATAATGCTCTTATTGAAGATTTGTCACTGGATGGAACACTTGGAAAAATGCTACAGTGAATCAGGGAAGCACTGATTGAAGCCTTGAGGCAAAAATCTTTGCACATTTTATATCCATATCAACTTAGGTTATGTTTGGCACACCACAACTAGCTTACTTTTTTATTTAATGTCTGTGGGGCATCCCTGTGGCGCTGATATGGTGTTGATGTTGACTTTTTTTTATTTAATTCTAGTTTTATTTGATTTTAAACTAATATAAAATAATTAACATTTATATTATATTTTAATAAAACACTTAAAATTGTAATTACTCTTGAAAAAAAAAATAGAGAACCATTGCCTTCACCAACATCATCTTCATGATTTCATCACCCCAAAGTACTTCGTCTTCTTCACAAAACATTCGTTTCAGATTTGAATTTTGTTCTTTTCTATTTATTTATTTAGGGATGAAGATGAAGGTAACTGCAGGTGGTGGGATAGATATGAAGACGACAATGATGACAAGTTAATGAAGATGGTATGATGGTATCTATGGTTGCTGTTGTTTGTTTGATTTTAATTTCCCTCACCATCAACTCTAAAATTGTGAAAAAAAAAAACAAAAACAAAAAACAAACAAACAAACTAAACCCTAATACAGGTTTCTTGCATTTGATGAGGGAAGGTTGCATATCCAAAATTTCGTATATGCATTCAAACATTGAGTTTCCAATGTTTCATATATTTGGATTATCCTATTTTATTTTTGGTTTTTGAAAATTTTTCTTCATGATTTTATAATCGTTCGGATATTTGGATTAAACAATTGGAGAGACTTTATAGATGTATATTTCTAGCAGTTTTTTATATATGTTTTGAGTATAAAATGGATAATTCAAATCCGATGGCTTCTAATCCCATATATGAAGTGAGATCTCAAGCAAATAAATGTGTACACGGTTGATTTATGTTAAAAAGAGTCATCTATTTTTTTTTCTTCAAGTTACATTATTCTGTATTATGTCCAAATTTTCGGAAAAGTTCGAAAATTTCATATACAAATTTGGACATCAAAATCTGTTATCCTAATTATCCTAAATTTTCAGATATGTAGCTTTAAACCCCCATAGAAACAACAACATAAGGGTTTTAGTAGGGAAGTGTTGAGGTAGACTGATTATTTTCAGCCGATGTCAAACTTCAAAGAGTCATGGATATTTTATGAAAATAATTTCTGGATGAAACTCAAAATCCTTACATTGAATTCATGGAAAGTATATGATGGTGGTAAGCTTCATTTATTCAGGTATATTTGTACATTAATACTTGTTAATCTCTCACCAATATTCTGTAGTTGTGCCAGTTTCGTAATTGGTATAGGTGAATTGTCATAATGTACAGTTCTCAAACTAAGGATGACTTCAATGGCACCATGTTACTCGCGATTGCCATGGATTGAACAACCAAAACTTTCATGTTGTGTTTAAATGGAGTTGGTCGAAAAAATATTTGGGAGTTGGTTAAATTCATTTCTTCCTATGACAACATTCTACTTTGAAAAAATATACCCCAATATATGATGTTGTTTAAATACAAATCAGTTTTCACTGCTATAATGTTATAGATTTTCAAAGTATAATGCCTTCATAAAATAAATGAAAGTATGATGTTGTAATAGAAAGAAGTGAAAGTGAGATGCCATAATACACAAATAAATGAAATTATATTGTTATTTCTTACATTTAGCCCAATAACATTGTACATTTGGCTCGACCCTTCCTAACCATACAATTGAAACTACAATATTCTAATAGAAAGAAATGGAAGTATGACGCTATAATAACATATAAATGAAAGTACATTGATATTGATTGCTTTAATCTTAATAACGTTATATATGGTGGACATTTGAAAGTGTTGACAAAGACAATAACACATTGCTTGAAGAAGTGAGGATCATGAGTTTTAAAATAAACAAGGTGGAGCAGTTGGAAAAAAAAAATCCTACACTAAACCCGAAAAGCACTCCTTAAAGCCATGAGAGGTTAAACTTTCTACACATTTAATATATATATTACTTTGTATCTATCTGCATTAGCCCATTATAAATATCATATTATCTTGTATTATTTTTTCTGTTTGCATTTTTTAGTAAATTTGTAGCCTTTATTATATTTGAATTGGACAATTAGTGTCTCTAAGAGATGTATAGTTTTAGTGGCTTTTTTCTTTTACTAAATGACAAATGAAGGAAAGAGGATAAAAAGATAAGTGAGGTTGAAGGAGGGTTGATAGTAAAGGAGTAAACATTATGTTCTAATTGCGTATTTTAAGGTATATTGGAAAAATTAGCTATAATCAAGGAATAAAATGTTACAATAACCTCAAATAAGGACCAAAATTGCAAGATGGAAAAATAAGCTATAATCATTGGTCCCTATTCAAAGTAAACGAGTAAACATATGTCCCTGTTCAAAGTAAAATAAGTATAGTTTTATGGCAAAAAGTGGAAAAAATAAGATATAACTAGGGATTAAAATAGTCATTTTGCTTGGAACAATGACACAAAATGTTACAATAACCTCAAATAAGGACCAAAAATGCTAAGATTATCTGATGTTAAAAGGAAAATCAAAGGAAACAACTCTGTTCCTCAAAAATGTACTTTGGTCATTAAAGGTCGTAATGTTCTTATTGAAGATTTGTCACTGGATGGAACCCTAGTTAATCGATTCAGTTGATGATGCTGAGGTGTATGCCTTCTCACACGACACCTAAGAACCCAAAAGATAGTTTGCAGCCATTTACCCACCATGTGAGTAGAAAATAGAATATCATACGAAGTAAAAACTCAAAACTATCTATAAAGGAACTAACTAAATTTTCTGCGTTGCTTTTTAATTTAGAATCATCACATGATTCTCATAATTTACAACCTTGGATAGAGATTTCACAGTTAAATTTGGAACATTGGTAAGTCATATGTTCCATCTTTTAGGAGGACATGGGTCAAAAGTGCAATTTCAAACGGTATCTATTACCTTTTAATCTCAAACTTTACTTTCTCGAAAACTTGTTCATCTATAGTCATCCAGGGGCCATGTGCTGCAGATACAATAGAGAACTCAATAATAGAAATGATAAACTCGAGTAAATTACACTTTCAATTTCCATTTATAACTTCTTTTGGGGGGGGGGGGGGGGGGGGGGGGGGGGTAATTTTCGGTAGCTCATTTATTTTGGAATAGTGATGCTAATCATGTTTTCCATTGCGAAATGTAATGGAAGTGCAATTACTATGATATCTAATGGATTTTACTGTTACACCATTACTAAACAGGTTGTTCGTTTCAAACAAAATTGATTTGTATCAAACTATTTTTTTCCACAATGGTCCGGTTCGGTTTCCAATTTTTTTTAGTGTACCTCTAATTTTCATTGTGTTTTTTTATGCTACGAATGTATGATTTTTTTTAGGATATCTTATTTCATACAAAACAGGGAAAATGGCCACCCATGGTGTTGGTGGCAAATATATTGATATGGGGGACTTAAAAACCCCAACCAAATTACATTACATTACATATTAGAAAATAAGAAATCAAAAATAAAAACTAGTTGACAAACTACGTGTGTCTAGCCTTTTGCATACTTGAAATGAACACAGCCACTTTCACATAAACCCAATCTTTGAAGCTGTCATAAAACTGAAAAAATGCACGTCTCCCTCGACGGTTGAGAAGTAAAGCGCCACATGCTATCCAAAATCCAGTAGCAAAACCCATTCCCCCACCAATATAAAACCATCCCCCAGAGTTCGAATTCATCATCTGTGTCTTCCCCATCACCCTCACTTTTACCAATCACCGATGTTGCATCTGATTCTTCATCTCCAGGACAACTTTTGGTAAGAGGAGGTCCACATAGACGTGCATTTCCATTGTATCTTGAAGGTTCAAAGGATTGGAGTTGAGTGCTGGTTGGGATTCTCCCAGACAAGTTATTAAATGACAAGTCTAGGTAATTCAGTAAACTCATAAAAGACATGCTTGATGGAATCCGCCCTGAGAAATTATTTCTGGATAAATCCAAAGTCAAAAGGTTTTTCATCTCACCAATTTTCTTTGGAATCTCTCCAGATAGAGCATTCATTGAAAAATTCAGGGCAATCAAGTCTGCAAGATTGGTAATTTCATTTGGGATTTGTCCTGTTAGATTGTTGCTGGACAGGTCAATGGTCTTCAACAATTTCAGAGTGTTAAAGAATTCACGTTCATCTCCTTGCCACTGAATCATTGCATGGTCAACATATCTCCCCCATCCATATGAAGTATTGTTTACAATTTTTTGAAAGTATACATCTTGTGAGAATCCTCCTTGGTGAAGCATGCTCGTAAGATTACTCAAACATGAGGGGATGCTTCCATGGAGATTGTTCATTGCCAAGTCCAAAACATGAAGATTAGGTAACTGACATAACTGTAAAGGGATGGTTCCAAAGAAGTTGTTTGATCTCAGGATAAGAACATACAACCACGATAAGTTTTTCCCTATCCAGACAGGCACATTACCAGAAAACTTGTTGGCCCCCAAATTCAAAGAGATTAAACTCGTGCAATTTTTTAAGGACAAAGGCAATTCTCCGGAGAAGTTGTTCTTGTATAAATACAAGACTTTGAGTTGTATCAAAGATCCAACAGAGGGAGGAATCCGTCCAAAGAGATTGTTGTGTCCAAGATTAAGAACTTGTAGTCCTTTGAAACGCCACAAACAGTCCGGGAGTTGTCCGATTAATGAGTTATGAGAGAGGTCAAGAAATGATAATAACCCATCAACAATTTGGCATATAAACGAGATTCCTCCAGAAAACTTGTTTCTGGAAAGATCTAATGATGCCAAAGTGGAAGCAACATCCGGTATTGGACCATAAATGTTGTTGGAACTCAAATCTATCACTGAATAATGTTTGGCAAAATTTGATAATAAATCTGGTACGTTCCCGCTAATGTTGTTGGAAGAGAGATTCAGATATTCTAATTGAGAAGGCCAGCTGTCCCAAAACTCTAGAGGAATTGTGTCTGAAATTCCAGAATTGGAAAGATCAAGATAGGTAAGATTTTTGAGTGTCTGAATCCATTTGGGGAAGAGAGGCCCTATATTGGAAGAGCGCAGATCAAGATACTGAAAATAAGAGATGTTTGACAAGTGATCTGGGGAAGGAACTGTAAGATTATTAAAAGAAAGGTCAAGAGTTCGGAGCCTGGGTAGTTCCCACAGTTTCTCACTTATACTTCCATTTAAGTGATTATGAGATATGTCCAAAGTACCGAGGGATGAAAACTTTTGGATGTCATCGGACAGTGACCCTGTAAATTGGCTTCCCGTAGCATACAAGGATTGTAATGAAAGGGATGTGCATCCAGACAAGTTGTTGAGAAAAACAGGAAATTTGATAACAGCAGAGTTGTCATTGAAGTACAACTGTTCCAAACTACAGAGGTTACCAAGATATCTGGGTATTCCATCTAACCTGTTGGTTGAGAGATCAAGAAGATGCAGTTTATTACTGGTTAATGGGAACAACCAACGATACATGGATGAGGTGAGATTGTTGTCACTGAGATAAAGGGTATGAATAGATGAAGAAGAAGAGTTGAGAAATGAAGAATATGGATACATGACCTGTGACAGTTCACATCCATCTAACCTTAATTCAAATAGTTTTGGGAGACTTGAAATTGCATCTACCCAATGATCTGCTTTTGCTAATGAAATCCCATCCATATCAAGTTCCTCCAAATGAGAGAGATGAGACAACCACTCTACCTTTTCAACCCTACAGCCTCCAACATATCTAAGGGAAAGCACTTGCAAGTTGGTGAGGTTTCCAAACTCTGGTGGAATGGTTCCATAAAAAGAGTTAATAGAAAGGTCAAGGGAACTTAACGCAGTCAAGGAACCAATAAAGGTGGGAATGGTTCCATTAAGATTATTGCCACCGAGGTTCAGGTAACTTAATTTGGTCAAAAAACCAATGAAGGTGGGAATGGTTCCATAAAGAGAGTTCCCGGAAAGGTCAAGAAAGATTAATTCTCTCAAGGAACCAATTGACCTGGGAATGGTCCCATTAAAATCATTCGAGCCAAGGCTAAGGTACCTTAATCGAGTCAAAGAACCAATTGACCTGGGAATGGTCCCATTAAAATGATTCCAGCCAAGGTGAAGGTACCTTAATCGAGTCAAAGAACCAATTGACCTGGGAATGGTCCCATTAAAATCATTCGAGCCAAGGCTAAGGTACCTTAATCGAGTCAAAGAACCAATTGACCTGGGAATGGTCCCATTAAAATGATTCCAGCCAAGGTGAAGGTACCTTAATCGAGTCAAAGAACCAATTGACCTGGGAATGGTCCCATTAAAATCATTCGAGCCAAGGCTAAGGTACCTTAATCGAGTCAAGGAACCAATGAAAGTGGGAATGGTTCCATTGAAAAAATTGAAGGAAAGATCAAGATGATACAAGTAGGTTAAGTTAAGCAGTGAATGGCTTATCTCACCTTCAAGCCAATATCCATTGATATCAAGCCCTGTGACATGACCTGTTTGGTTGCTGCACGTGACTCCTTTCCAGTTACAGCAGTCATCTCCTTCAGCTGTCCATTTGGAGAGATGTTCATCAGGGTCATGAAGGCAAGCTTTGAAAAGAAGGAGAGCATGTCTCTCATCATCCAAACACTGCTTCATATCATTTCCTCCTGCTGCTACCAATTGGCTGCCAGTTGTAGTCACAAGGAGTAGCAAGAGAAGTGAGATAATTATAAAAACACAAGAATTCATAATGTAAATCAAAATCTTAATTGCTGATTTTTGGTTTGTATTGACACATATATCAACTGCCCCCATGAGGGTTTATATAGTCTCCACTGTGAAGATGAATGATTATAAGTGGGTGACCATAAATTGTGTGGAATTTCTTTCCCCAAATTAAACTTCAAAGACTTGCAAGTCTTGGCAATTTGTCTTTTATTATAGTAGATATCTTTTCCCATCTTCTGATATGATATTGTTTGGTATATGATATAAATCCCAAAGTGTAAAACTAATGAAATCTTTCAGTCAAATACAAATCTACCAGTCAAAACAGTAATGATATTATTTGGGCCTAACAATCTAATCATGACTATGAAATGAAGTTTTGTCACTTGAATTAACTAAATCATGAACTTATATCAATGAAACCAAGTGTATCCATTACAGATTAATCATGGTCTTTTCCATTGTTAAAATTGATATTTAAGATAACACTACATTAGTAATGACTCCACTAAAAACACATTACGATGATAATTAATACTACAACTTTTGCAACGTTTTTTGTCCATATTCCAAATAAAATGACTATAATTAATATCAGCTATACTCGATCGGGGACCAAATATAGTCATTTTAACTGAAACATGGACCAAAGCATATCAAGAACCAAAAATAAGGACCAAAACTGAAAGTTTCAGCTATACTCAGGGACCAAAAACGTTTTATTTTAATTGAAAATAAACATAAGATGCACATACAGAAGCAGTTTTATTTTGCAGCAATTCTTACCTTCTGTTTACCTAAATTAAACTCCTGTCAATCAAAAATCACATATTAAAGACTCCAATTCTGCCACTGTGTTTTCTGATCAACATTTTGTAGCTTCTGAAGCTCCACTCCATTCACCTTTAGCACTTTGCACTACTCATTTAGAAAATTTAAGAAAATCATGTTACTAATATTAATCAGAAAGACAAAATATTGATGTATTAATTATTATAGTATCCTACTTTCATAGTTTGCTACCTCTTCATGTAATACAAGGGGTATGTTGGTCATTTAAAGACATCCAGGATAATACTTTTTCCAAAAAAAAGAAGGCGTTAAACAGGATACAAATTACTAATAATAACTACTGAAATGATCAACTTAGATTCTGCTTCATACAGGTATGTAGATAACTAGTTCTTAACTGATATGAGTATTATTATATGAAAATTTATTTTTAATCGTGTATTGAATGTAAAAAACCGTGAAAGTATAATGATGTTTTAGTTACTAAACCTTAATTGAGATGCTCATTACAATATGATAGATAATTTTCTTTGTACATGCATTAATTTAAAAAAAAAAATACATGAAAGTATATTCAATAAAACTTTCATTTTACTCTCTATGATAGCTGTTATGTTAGAAGAACACATTAAGTAATTAGTAATTAGCCTATCCATCAACTAAACTACGTAGCTTCTCCAGTTCATATTTCAATTTTTTTTTTATAAAAAATACAAATTGCAAAATATCACAAGATGAGAAAAGATATCTATAATAAAGACAAATTCCCAAGACTTGTAAGTCTTTGAACGTATAATTTAGGGCAATTAATTCCAATTCTGTAACTATGATTTTTCTTATAGTCTTGTTCTAATTTCATGGAAATTAAGTATTGATGGAAATATTGTATGCCCCATATAAGTGGCCACCAATTTGAGACCACCCTCATGGGCCCAGAAGCATGTTTGGGCCTTCTAACACAGACCAAGAATTACTTTTTGTGGAGCCCACTTTTAACAATTCTCATCACATCACTTTTTTATGTATCTTTGAAAATATCACAAGTTTGGAAAAGATCTTGATAATAAATACAAATTGCCAAGACTTGCAAGTCTTTGAACGTCTAATTTGGGGCAGTGTATGATAACTCTTCATCTTTAATTTGTCTTCTAGTTTTAGGTTCTAATTTCATGGAAATTAAGCATTGTGTGTTCCACCCATTTAGAATCATTCATCTTCATGGAGACTATATAAACCCTCATGGGCCTGTTCATATAGACATCAACACAATACTAAAATGTCTTAATAGAGAATAAATGAATATACAATATTGCTATAATGAATGTACATTGCTATTTCTTACATTTAACCCATTTGCATTTGACCAAATGTATGATCATCAAAGTCACAATACAAATTATCACAAAGTGTAGTAGATTATGGTGTTAATGAGAAGCCGAATACATTTGCTCTCATCCAAAACAATCGATCAACTTAACCCCTGGTGATTTTAGCATTTACCTTTTCTAAAAGCTAACTTTGAAAGATATCATCAACAACACTAATTCAACTGCAATCAAATAATATTATGTTGCACCTACTCGTGCAGCTAAATCCATTTGTTCATTGCTGTGTACACAAACATTAGCTTAACATTGTAGGCACAATCAACCAACAGAACAGATGATCATAAGGTAGCTGGAAGAAAAGATCAGATAAAGACCAGAACACGCTCCATTTTTACATTTATGTTATTCATAACTGAGAAATAAAACCCATCGATCAGTAAAAATCAATAGCCTTTTCCATGGCAAAGCCCTGAATTTGCAGGTTTTGCAAAATAATATAAACTCACAAGTTTGTCTCCTAATCTAACAATAGATTAGATGCACATGAACAATACCCAAAATGATGCAAGAATACAGAAGTAGGAGATCACCTAGGCAATGATGTGTGAGGAGGTGACGATGATGTGTGCGTGGTTGCTCTGCTACGATGCTCTGATTTCGAACCCTCGTTGACTGATTTTGATTCTAGAGGGAAAATGGTGTATTGGATGGCACATAGATCTCACGATCTTATCTGGATCTTGCGAGCATAATCACAAATATTGTTTCAAAATAAGATAATTTCTGATGTACGATGATACGAGCGCGATAAACAAAATCACAAATATTGTTTCAAAATAAGATAATTTCTGATGTACGATGATACGAGCGCGATAAACAAAGCTTGTCCAGTCATACAAGAGCTGCCTGTTTGTGACCTTAGAATTGGGAATTTGGTCTAGAATGGTAAAAGAAAGGTTTTTTTTCACGCTAAGTATAATAATGACTTTTATCATTTTCTCTAAATCCAATATACACTAAATTGTTAAATTTATAAAGGCCTTAGGGTATTAAAAAAGGAAAAAGAATATCCCGAACTTTTACCATACTTATGAAAAAAATTAAAAATTATGTCTTCTTTTAATAGAAAAAACAAGAAATCAAGTAATTTATTCATTTTTGGGATATTACCGAGTTAACTCTAATTCAATGGATTGATTTGTTGAACCGAATGTCAGGTGAGTATACTAGATGCTTAGGTGGCTGGTAGGGTTATATTGAAACCCAATGCACCTTATTTGATGATCTCGACAACCCTAAGTCGTACAAGGAGGAGGGAAAATGGAACCATCTTCTTTTGTGGGAATTTGAAGCGCATGAAGTGCAAATTGATCAGTTTGTCATTGTGGAAGGTGTAGGTGCACTTGTGGATATCAATGTCCAAAATGGGTTTCGTGGATTCCAATGATGTAGACTCTTTGGTTGCCCTAATTTAAGGGCAAAGGAAGTAAACTTTGCACATTTTAATAATGATTTTACTTTTAAAGAATGTAATGGTCTAACCTACTTGATGAAGAGAAGAATTTCAAATATTTTTCTTGGTGTTGGAATTATATTCCTTAATGATCGATAGATTCAAGCAGAAAAACAATAAATGAAGCAATAAAGAACACAAGAATGGTTTGAACGATGTCGAATGATTAAACTTTAACACCTCAGAAGAGCTCGATGAAGAACTTCTACTGTAGAGGTGCTTAGGGTTACAACGCAAAACATAATCAATGACTAGCGTACTAAGGCATACATGCATGCACTATATATAATACGTAACCCTAACTATAATCACGGTTGGACAGGCCCAATACTGGATATACAAAAGAATAGCCCATAACGCAACACATAATACCCAACAATCTCCCCCTTTGTGTCAATGGAGCCGAGAGCTCACTTCAGTTTATCTGCAGCAGACTTCTTGATAGTCTTGAACACACTCGGTATGATGGCTAAAAGAGTTTGTCGAAAAGTGATGTACCACCGAAGCATGTCTGTGAAGTTCTTCTTATCAGACTCGGAATTTGCCTTGCACCGATGAATGATATTGATGATGTGTTCTAGGCAGTCAGTAGAGAACAAATGTTTGTCCACCAGAGCAAACAAGAATCTTTCACCTTTGGCTCTTGTAAACATCACTTTGAGGTGAGCAGAATCAATTTGACCGAGAGTCATTTTGTTGACATCTCCTGGCTTTACAGTTGGCTTCACCGTCGGTTTCTTCCTCATGACATTCGACACCTCTTGATCCATCTGCGCAACTTCATGGATATAAGAGGCCAACATCCTTTTCAGATGTCCTAAGATTGGTTCATACTATGTTGCATTAGTGAGCAAAATATTGAAGAGCAGAATCCAATCATGAGGATTCAAGTTAGGAAGATCTGCCAGGGAGATAATAGAAACTGAGTTACTTGAACCTCGGTTTATCCTAAAAGAGACATTGACAAACTTCCCTGCAGATGATAGTTTCAGCACCTTGACCGTAGTAAATTTTCTGAGCACTCCAGGTCAGGTACTGAGGCTGACTAAACTCAAGATAAAAATCAATAAGTTCACGGTCGACCTGAGGATGGGGTGAAGGAACTTCAACTGTCGGCTCAAAACAGTGAAAAACGAATGCCTTTCGAGTAATAGGCATATCGAACTGCGAAGCCCTTGTATTCTCACAGTCAAAGGAGGTTACAGGCTCCAGCCAGTAGGTGCTTGGAAACTCTATTGCCTCCCTGGTGAGTGTTTTGTTGGATTAGTGTCTAAGTCCATAACTATTTTGGTATGTACTTGACCCGATTATGAGCATGGTCCTTTTGGGTTGCCTTCACCATAGCAATATGTAGGATGAAGTAAGGAGAGAAAAGTTTAATTATGATTTATTAATATATTATGAGAATAATATATTAAAGGAGAAATCATATTGTTTAATTAAATATTAGTCAAGAATTAATTAAGAATTAATTTTTGTGGCTAAAAGAGATTAATTAAACTTAAGGGACTTATTGTGTAATTATAAGATAATTACATAGATGGGCTTATGGACTCCTTAGAAGGTGGAGTGGACGAATTCTATGGGGAAACCCATTAGAAATCGTCCAGGGCTTCTAAAGAAGGAGTCAATGGGCTGCTTAGGGCTTAAGCAGTCAAATTAGGGTTTCCTTGTTAGATAACCCTAATTGTCTACGTATATAAGGAGCCCTTAGGCACCAAAAACGTGGCTAACACTTGGATTAGGGTTTCCAGCCGTTTTTGGTGCCTCCCCTCTCTTCTCTTCTTCATCTTGTTGCTTAGTGGTGTTTGTGACTCCATTAGAGGTGCAACACTTGAGGCACTAAGCTTTCTGAAGCCAATGATTAGATTGTTATTGCTATATAACAATCAAAGGTTAGATCTAAACCCTATTTTATGTTAATATGATTAATTGTATGCTAGATCTAGGGTTTATAGCTTTGGATATTCAATTGCATGTTCATTAGACAAACTAGATCCAAAAGCTATTAGGGTTTGCATGTACACCATATGAATGATGTTTTTGCCCAAAACCCATCAGTGGTATCAGAGCCTAGGGTTGTTTGTTTGATGTATTTGATGCTATAGTTGATTATTCTTGCTTAAAATCGAAAATTAGGGTTTCTGGGGGCTGGACTCGCCGAGTCCATGGCTGAACTTGCCGAGTCCATGGTGAACTCGACGAGTCCATGCTTGACTCGACCAGTCAGCTGGTCAGAAAGAGGTAATTTCGGGATTTTGTGCTTCTTTAGCTGTGGGATAGTTTCCAAAACGTTTTTTATTGATATAAATCAGATTTTTATGATATTGGGTGATTATCCTTGCCAAAATAAAAGATAACTTCATATTAATTAAATAATTATTTCCTTATATGATAAAATTTAATTATTTTAATTATTTGGT